TATAATTCATACACACAAAGATGAACAAAATTAGTAGAAGCGGGAGGGCTGAAGCATAGCTTATGGAAAGTAGCCCTCCCGTGCATTATCCTAATACAACATCGGCATTATTGCGTCAAAAATGTATAGAAATGACGGAGTACAAAAAATAAAGAAAACAGGAGAAAAAATGTAATAAAAGTTAGGGCAGGAAAACAATAAATGCATATACATATATATACGCAAACTAGATATAGGTTCATTTTCTGCACATGTCAATAGCAGTTTCAACTATCTTTTTTTTGGAAATGAAAATACTATATATAAATATATACATATGTACACATGTACTTGGCAAATGAATAATAATAATAATAATATATGCATAATTGCATATACATTGTGAACACTTATTTTCAAGTGACTTTTTTTACATTCATATGTTCACGCTGTGGTTTGGAACTGCTTTTGAATATTATTAGGCATTTTGTTATGGAAAATGTTGTGCATAACCAGTACTGTTTTAAGCTGTACTATGTCAAGACATTTTAATAGATTGAGTTTTTTTTAAATATGGGAGTTGTTTGATCATATTTACCAACACCAAAGACTATTTCTAATACATTTTTTTGGGATGTTATTATTTTTTGTAGATTTGTTGAGTACGTGTTTCCCCATATTTCGGAGCAGTAGTAAAGGTAAGGGAGAAATAGACTGTTATAAAGAGTATTTTTTCTTCAAGAAGGTTCTTAGTATGATACAAAATACCTGTTGTTTTTGACTGTTTAGTCTGTATATCATTTATATGGTGCTTTCAATTGAATTTTTCGTCAACAAGCAGTCCTAAAAATGTACATGCACCAACTTTTTCTATCTCGGTATTGCAAATCCGTATAATGCAGTCATTTCTACTCTCAGACTTTGTATTGAATAACATGTCATTTGTTTTGTCCACATTAAGGGATACTTTATTAACTGCAAACCAGTTACATAGTATTTCTAATTCTGCATTCACAATTTTAACAAGATCGCCAAGATTATGATGGGAGCAGAGAATTCAAAGTTCAGGTTAAGCCTCAATATATTTGGGGAGAATTAAAATGAGCCTTCTTTATTTGTAGACAGCCAAGCCCCCTCCTGTGTTTGGTAAAGCATTATGCTTAACAATCCAATTTAGGATATAAACACGACTAAACTGCAATGATAGCAAAGCTGCGGCTTGTGTTTTTGGGGTAATAAAGTCCAAATCATCGTTGGGCTGTCAGCCAATGAGTGACGTCTGAGGAAGATGAGAAATGCAAATTAAACATTGTTGAGAAAATGCTGCATCTCTTGCATTTATTGACGTAGAGGAACCTTATTGTTTACCTTTTTAATATAATTTTTTGTAATTTTCAATTGCTTGGTTTTCGTGAAATTAGCCTATTTTCCTATTAAAGTGTAACAGATTGACGCATCTCCACAGATTATCTTAAAGGCTTCGGAATCCCCCCATTGTAGTTTAAAAAACTGTAAAAACTAGGGCCCCCAAACAGCATAGCCAATTTAAATTAAGGGGGCATTTAGGGCCCCCAAAAAGCTAGAAACGGCCCTGCCTGGATGAACTGACCAGGCAGAGTCCCTGTAGCTTCACGGAGCAGCTAGCAGAGAGACAAGAAGCTAGCAGCAGCAGTCACTTGACAGAGCTGTCACTCAATGTGACCACGCCCTAATATATGCATAACTTTAAGGCTTAATATTAATTAAACAGATGAGTTGAGAAAAAATTCACTCCAGGATCCCTAGACAGGAAGGGGGAATCTAACTATACTGAGAATAAAATGTTTTTAAATCACGATGTAAACATGTTTATTTCTGCTGNTACCATTACATACTGATATATAAAATATGACCACGAATGTGAGACCAACTTTATAGAATTCATATCACATCTGTTACTGATGCCATCTTGTCATACTTTGTTAAACTCCACAAATAAATAAAGTTCCATAGAACTTTCAGTTGGGAACAAAGACCACCACCTTATCCTCCACAAGGCAATTTCCCATCCCAATAGGTGCTGCATATAGGTGTGTATAACCCTTTTCCCTGTCTGTTACTCCCTCTTTCAGCACAAGAACAGAGGGGGAGTTCATGGGAAGCATGAATTACCTGCACTGAGACCTCACCCTGCACCCTGAGTCTCAACACAAGCCTTTCCCTGTTTTTTTGTATTAAACAAACATTAAGCTTTCCCAATGGTGTGGCGTTTCGTTTTGTGGAAAAGTGAAAATGCAGTGTTTGTTATATAATAACCTCTCACTATTTTTTTGCTGTTGGTCCGTGAAAATGCTCCTGGCTGACTTGAGCAAGCCATTTTTTCCTCCGCTCTGTGTCAGTTGGGGAAGCCGTACATTCGTACTCCTTTCTCGGAGTGATTTGAGCATCACCAGGCCAGCACAGCCAAACCATGGTTTGCGGACTAGGAGGCAGCACAGCAAAACACAGACAACACGTCAGGAAAGGCAACAGACATAACTAGCATGATATGCTATCCACATGTTATTGATTCCATGTATTTGCAATGGATGTTCCTAAAACATACACATTATAACATCATATCATTCATGCGCATGCTGCTTGCTGCTGCTGCTGCTGCTAGTCCTTTGATAGTCACCTGTCGGTCTCCTGTCTTTTCTGAAAGCCATAAAGATGACATTAGTCATTTAGATAACTTGTGTCCTCAATTACCATGGGAT